CGCCCTCCTGCCGCTCCCCCGCCACCATTGCCTCCTCGTGTCGTCCGACTCCAACATGTCCTTCTCTCCCCCAACCTCTGGCCATCCACTCCCATGCACCCTTACGGCGCGTCCGTGGACGCCGAGGCTCGAGGCGGCGCCCGCGCAGTCACCCTTTGCGAGTGCGACGACCAGTGCTGCTGGGCAATCTCTGGGGGGGTGGGGGGGGGCGACGCGCGCGAGAGCACAGCCGCAGTTGCGGACGAGAAGTTCCAGAATCGACCCCGATTCAATTACTTGTGCGTCGAGGGCGGAGAGCCTTCGGGGACCCTCCTCATTGGCCAGAGACCGCGTGGGCGGCCGCGTTGACTGCGTCGACTATGCGAGGCTCTTCCACAAGACGGAGAAGTTCAAGCCGAGAGGGAAAAGGGAAACCGCAGTTGCGGAGCCAAAGTGGCACAACAAGCACTTGAGGGCGATGGTTGCGCGCATCGCCCTGGACGAAGCGGCGCCCCATGTGGGGTAATCCTTCAACGTCATGGCGGTGCACGTCCACCAAAGTTTGGCCAACCAAGACTGGGGCCCGACGAAACTCAATGAATTCTACGAGTGGTTCCTCGACTACGTCCAGAAGCACGACGTCAGCGCGTGCATGGGGGATTTCAACATGTGCATGTTCCAGTTCGTGTCCTGGTGCCGCAGTCGCGGACTCACGGTGGGCGTCGCTGCGCGGGCCCCCTGGAAGACGACAGGCGGCCTGCAAAAGGGCAGACAGTATGGCAATTATGTTCATGAGCGGCCCTGGGAGATGCGAGCTTCGTCATGGCCTGGGCGCCGTGCACGTCGGCCCTCGCGGATTCCTACACAGCCCCCCTGGCGCCTCTTTCCACGCATTCGATTGCGCGAATGGCCCAGGGAAGACGCTGCAGACGCACTTGCCGAAAGCTGGCGCCGTCGCAGACAGGTTTTGCGATTTCGTGAAGCCATCTGGCGCCTCCGAGGCCGCAGTTGCGGATTTCGAGCGAAAGCTGGCGGGCGCTGCTCGCGAGCGGGCGCCCCGCCCTTTCCGAGCCAGGCAGGGCGAGCTGGACGACGCGATCTTGCGCGGCCCCGTCGGCAAGGCGCGAAACGGAGCGCGCTTCCTCTTGGCGGCTTTCATCCGCAACGCGGGCCGCAGATCACCAGAGAAACTTGCTTTGAGGGGGGAACATGAGAATAAGCGGAGGCAAGAGGAATGCGCTTGCAAGGGCGGCAAGAACAGACGGGCGGCGACGGGGATACCGCAGTTGCGGGGGAAGGCGCGCAGACTAACACTGCGCAGAGCGCAACCGCAGTTGCGGAGAGAGCCGCCGAGGCTGAGCGACTTTTGACGTCGCAGTGGCCGCAGGTTGCCGACGGACACGAGACGACCACTTCTCATGCCGCAGCGGCGGCTGCCTCTTCTGCCGCCAGCGGAAGCGGCTCGCGGTGGGCGGAGGATTCCTCATGGGGATGGAACGCTCAGGGGTGGGAGTGGCAGGCCGGATGGCGCGCTGATGAGTGGGCGGGCTGGGCGGGCTTGCGCGCTGATGAGCGGGAGTGGTGGGCTCAGAATCGCGCCGCAGTTGCGGACAATGCCGCGGAGGGTTCCACGCAGACGCAGAGCACGGGCTACGCGGGGCAAAAGAGCCAGCGCGGTCCCTGGATCAACGAATGGAATCGTTGGTAATGGCCGCAGTTGCGGGCAAGTACACTGGCCGCGGTTGCGGGCAGCTAATTATAGCAGAGAGGCTTGCGGCCGCAATGACGAAAAGAGCTTCCTTTGGAAAAATGGGAAAATCATCAGTAACGTCATCTTCATTTTCGTCATCAATCGTTATCACCATCATCCTGTCGCCTTGTGAGGGAAACGTTCAAAGCAGTCCCAGGGGACTGCTTTGAAGCGTTCTGATACGTTCAAAACAGTCCCGGGGAACTGTTTTGAAGCGTCGTCGTTTCCTCTTTATGAGGGCTTTCGGATTCGCTGCCATGTGTTCCCGCGAGGGTTGCCGGCGATCTGGCAGGGGTACCGCTTGGCCACCAGCGAAGTAGTCATCCAGCAGGGCGCGAGCTGAATGGGGAAGGGGAGGAGCAGTCTGCCAGATGCCAGCGCGACTGTTCCAAAGGATTTGATCGACGTCGCTTGGCCTGTCCTTCCATGTCCCATCGTCGGCTCTGACCCCGCTGAGCGCGTGCGCCTTTTTGAAGATTTCTCTGCCCATCCGGCAGTGTGGAGTCAGTGGCGCGCGCTCTGCTCCGGGGATTAGGCGCGCCGCCGCTCTCTGGGTCTGGTCGGCCTTCCAGCGCGCTAGCCACGACGCCGCTGCGTTCGGAGAGGGGTCGTTGCCGCCCTATCCGTTCGAGGTCACTCACCCAGCAGGGGGGTCACACGGGCGGAAGGTTTCAGAGCTGGACGCAGCCCTGGCTAGCACACGGCCGATGCACTGGCCACGCGCGCGCCGGTCCCACCTTTTCCATTAGGACTGGATCACTGCCGAAAGCGCATGGCGCCCAAAGAGGACCGTGCGAGGGCAGTGGGGGGGGGCGGCGCCGCGGTGGGGCCGCTGAGGTTTGCTGGCGGGGATGGTTCCGCAGACGTTTCGGTGGCGACTTTTTCAGCGGGGTGGCCGCCCCGGGGGCGTTGCTCGAAGCCAGTCGGCGGGCTGAACAAGGCCAGACAGGTCCACTCGAGGGACTTGGAAGGTTCTTTCCAAGAGTGCCTAGTTCCAGCGGAGTTCAGCATGAACGCCCTCTGGGAGGGCTTTGAATGTTCCCGGATTCATTGCGTTGCGTCGTCTGATACTGGGCTGGGCACTGGGGTCAGCGTGGGCCAGGGCGTGGTCGGATAGGCAGGTCTTCCGGGCCTTTCGGGTCTGATAGGATTCTGCCGTGCGCCTTGCAGGCAATAGTTTTTATTTGAGACTCACCGTTTCTGCCTACCCTGGTTGGCCCTTCCATAACGACGGGGTGCTCCCCGCGCTGGGTGGGGAGCGTCATCCACGCGTTTGCGATTTCGATCTCACCTTCTCTGGGGTTGCTCCACTGCAGATGAACATCGCTTCCCCAGTGCGTCGGGATGCCGTGGTCCTGGGGGGTGACTTCGGCTATATCGGCTAAGGTTTCGCCCTGCAAGCCAGGCGGGAGGTGCGCAGAGACAAATCGGGAGGCTTGGTCACATTTTTTGGCCGTCGCGGCAGCGGCTCTCCCAGGGGCGAGTTCAACGGAGGCAGGGAGTTCAAAGTCCTGGGGAAGGAGCGCGGCAACTCCTCCAGCGCGCCCACCGGTGGGGCCGAGATACGCTGGGGAGGAGACAAGGTGTCTGGTGGGAAACATGGCGGCCCAGACGTTACATTCATGCGGAGACTAGAGCGTCTCTTACAAAAGGGCCACCCTCCCGGTCCCGGTGATCTGCGTGATGGCCGCCAGTTTGGCCTGATTTTTCTGCGTGAGGGTACTCGGCAGGTAGCGAACGTCCCAGGAGAACATTTGAGGGAATTTGGCTCGTCGCTGCCTGGCGAGGGGAACTGCGAGCTGCCCCGCGAGCACGCCGTTGCAGCGATCGCCCCAGGTGGCGCGGGGGGGCATGGGGGAGTCCTTGACAATCCACCACAGAGTGTTGAGCTCCCAAGGCCCACGTCCAAAGGTGCTGCCCAGTCGGAGTGAGGTTGCCCCAGCGCTCGCGCCCCCCGAGCCACGCGCCGAGGAGGCCAGCCTGTCGGAGCGCCGTGCCCACCACCCACCAGGATTGGTTCATAAGGTAGGTCGCATTGGCGTCGCAGGCGTCGATGGGCCCCGCCCCGATCGGGCCCCGATGGGATAGCAGGTCCTCCCATTGGCTTGACCACACTGCCCAAGGCCAGGAGCCGTTGGCCGGAGGTATGGGCGCTTGGCCCTCCGCCCCTTGGGTGGGGTCCTCCGAGACGGGCCCTTGCCTTCCCGGCGGAAGGCTCGGATTTTCGGTTCGTTTTCCCCTTCTTGGGCCCCTTCTTGGGCTGTCTTGGGGCCCTCAGAGGACGTCTTGGGCGCCTCTTGGACCGTCCTGGGGCGCTTATTGGGCGCCTTGGGGCCTTTTTAGAAGCCTCTTGGGCAGTTTTGGGATGGTTTTGGCGGCCTCTTGGGCCGTCTTGGAGCGTCGGAAAGCTGAAAAGGCCAGAACGCCAAAATCTTCCAAACACCTCAGGACAATTAGTTATGTTTGCCTCTTGGGGCCCTCTTGGGAGGCCCCTGGGAGGCCTCTTGGGGCGTCTTGGAGGCCTCTTTGGCCATGATGAGGCCATCGTGGGCGTCTTCGAGCGATCATTCGGCGACTCGGGGCCCTCTTGGACTATCTTGGGAGCCTCCTGGGCCGTCATGGAAGCATTGGAGAGCCCCAGGGAGGCGGCATGGTCGCCCAGGGACCCCCCGGGAGTAGGGGCGATGCAGTCAGGGAAGTGTGACCAGGGATGTGGAGGGGATCCCCTACAAGACTACAGAACCCCTGCCAGGCAGCCCTTGGCATCCTTCCACGCCTCAACGTGCCGCAGGCACGATGGCGGATTGAGAATGAAAACGGCAACACGTTTTTCACCGAAATTGGAAGTGTGTCAGAATCGGAACCGGAATCGGAAAAGAAACGGCGACGGGACAGGGGGAGAAAACCACGGAATTGAATACAACACTTGAAGAAGGAGCCAGCAAAAGCGGCCTTGTCGCTTATATGGCTCACTGAAGGCGCGGGCTCATCGTTTTTACCAAGGATCGTGGCCTCGGGAGTGCGGATCATGTTGAATACGAGGGAACCCAGAAGCTCTGAGGATGCTATAGGTTTGTCTCGTGCCCGGGGTGCCGCGCGTTAAGAAACCTAACCCGCCATAGTTTGAAGCATTCTGAACGTGCCCAGTAACAGCCATGGCCACATTTCTGTTTTGCCAGTGATATTGCAATGCTGTGAAGTGTTTGCGCTGATGAGAACCGAACTGTTCAGTTGGCAGCTGCCGATGCTCAGCGGTAGAATTGGACAGATGGTTGGGAAGGGCAATCGCCTCTGTTCTCCCTCTCTTCTATAGCCTCTGGCTCTGGTTCTCTCGAGCGATGAGCTACGCTCACGGTGGCTACCCTTCCGCTGGGGCGCCGCCAGGGCATCCTACAGGGGCTTGTGGCTACCATGCGCCGCAGGTTGGCGCGCCGCACCCTGGCTACCCTGCCGTAGGCGGCGCCGCGGCCCCTGCAGGCTATCCGGCCGCCGGCTCAGCCCTCGGGGGACTGGGCGCTCCGGGCTACCCGCCGCCCAGCGCGTACCCTCCAGGGGCGGCGTTCCCCCCGCCGGCGGGGTACGCCCCCGTGGGCTACCCCGCGCCGGGCGGGTACCCGCCGCCGGCAGGCTACCCGCCCCCAGGCTACGGGGGCTTCCCCCCGCCCTTCGGGTATGGGCTGCCGCCGGGGTACCTGCCCCCCGCCGGCCACGGCCACCTCCGCCGGGACGAGCGTCGCCGGGACGGCGACCGGCGGGAGGTTGACGGCAGGGACAGGAGAGACGACGCCAGCAGGAGGGGCCGGGACCGCGACGGGGAGAGGGGCGGCGAGGGCGGCGCCGCGAAGGACAGAGGCAAGCCCGCGGGCCCGCCAGCGGCGTGCGGCGTCAGGGTTTCGGGTTGCCAGCATGAGACGGTTGGCACCATAGTGAACGGCGAGTTCGATCGGGTCGGAGAGAACCACAGCAGGCCTTACTTCAGAAGGAAGGAGAAGGCCAACGACGGTTCAGAGGTGATGTTGTACTTCTGGGACGACCCAGAGCCGAAGTTCGCCGGCTGGTGGTTTGGCCCGAAGGTTGGGGGCGACCAGGTTTGGGCATACCAGCCGTCGAAGGAATCCAGGGAGCCCCCCGAGACTGGCTGGCAGGTGCCTTACGACGGACCCGTGGAGCCTAACCTCAGGATTCAGCCCACCGCTGGGCGGCCAGAAGACGATCAGCAGCTTTCGAAGCAGCAACGGCGGGATCGTGCACCGAAGGATAAGAGGGAGGAGAACAGGAGGAACATGGAGCAGGCGAGCAAGACTCGTGCGCAACAGCAGGAGGAGATCAAGCAGAAGCTTGATGCAGAGAGGCAGCGCGTGCAGGATGAGCTGAGAAGGAAGCTGGAAGAGCAGCAGAAGCAGGCCCAGCAGCAGATCCAAGCGCAGAAGGATGCTGAGGAACGACGCCGCCTGGAAGTCTCCTCGGTCCTGAAGATCCGCAGGTGTCTCGAGAAGCTCAAGGTCGCCTCGCCAGAGGGGTACGAAGGCCAGAAGAGGGAGCTCGAGGATGTGATGCTGGAGGACCTCGACAAGACCGGCGCGCAGAAGAATCAGATCGAGGAGGAGTGCGCGAGGGAGTTAGAGGCCTCCGAGGCTCGCGTCAAGAAGATCGTCGAGCTGCACAGAGAACTGGGCAGTCTTGTCGAAGAGGCCGAAGCTGGCCTGAAGAGCCTGCAAGACGCGGTGGCCTCTCTGGACACGAATCCAGAGCAGGAGGTGTCCGAGGTTAACGAGATCGTGGGGAGCATCACCAAGGCCGATTCGCAGGTGAGGGCTAGACTGAAGTGTTGCGCGGACTACATCGTGCAAAAGGGCTCAGAGATCAAGGACGCGAGCCCAGTGCTCGCTGGCCAGGCGCCGTCGAAGACGCAGCAGGAACTCGCCAGCATGCTCCAGCGGGTTCACGTATGCACTCAGTCGTCCGATGCGTCGGTGCAGGAATCGCTACGCAAGAAGGATGCGGCCATACAGCGCGCACGAGCCTGGCAAAGGGCCAGGGTGGTTAGAAGGCGCTACGAGAAGTATTGCACGTGCGCAGACAAGTTGCTGCGCAAGAAGGACGTCGCGGCATACTCCAGGGGCGAGTTCGATTTCGCCCTCTCGACCAGCAGGCTAGAGGAGATCTGGAGGCTGCTCGTCGTCGCAGGCGAGAAGGGCATCAGGCTGGAGCGAATGCCTCTCCTGACCTCCGCCATCGGTATCCACAGGGAGAGTCACAGGATCAGAGGATCTATGGATTCGGTTTGTGTTGGGGATTCGGTTTGCTGTTATGCATGGGCCAAGGGGGGCAGGCGGACAGCGACGACGACGACGACGACGACGACGAGGGCGACGATGACGAGGGGGAGGAGGAAGGAGACGATGACGAGGGGGTGGAGGGCCAGCAACCCCATCCGTCCTATCGGCCCCAACTAAGAGCAAGGGCAGGGGGAAGAAATGCATCTGAGTCACAGTGGAGCCACATTGACAATCTTGGGGTCAATTAGGATTTACAGAGGTCATCTTGGGGCAATCTCGAAGTCGCCTCGGGCTCGATGGGTCGTCCCGGGGTCACCTCGGAGTAAAATCGGGGTCACGCGGTAGCCTTCGTTCAGTCGACAGACAATGGGTTCGTCTCGGTGTTCTCTTGGGGCCGCAGGGTCGTTCTGGGGTCATATTGGGGCCATTGCTTAGCAGGGGTGGGCATATTTGGGCGACAGGGGTAATCTTGTGATCCTTTCACAGCCATTATTGGCCCATCTTGGAATCATCTTTCCGTTGTCGCCTATTTCGTTGTTGTTGCTGCATGTGTTGCTGTTGATGCTGGCGTTGATGCTGCTGGTGCTGCCGGGGCTGCCAGTGGTGCTGGTGCTGGTGCTGTGTTAAATTTCGGACCCTCTTGGAGCCATCTTGGGGCCCTCTTGGGGCCCTCCTGGGCCTCTTGGGGCCCTGCGCCCGCGGCAGCCCTCCGAGGGCCCTTGAGGCCTCCGAGAGGGTCAATAATTCAACACAAAGTTAGCACAAACCGCCTCCTTATTGGAGTGCGTCTTGTGTTATATGTGTGTTAACATGTTGGGCCCTCTTGGAGCCATCTTGGCCCCTCTTGGGGCCCTTCTGGGCCCTCTTGAGTCCCTGCAGGAGCCCTTTGAGGGCCCTAAGAGGCCTCCAAGAGGTACAATAATTCAACGCACATTTAAGACAAACGCCTCCTTATTTGAGGGCATGTTGTGTTACATGTGTGTTAACTTCCGGGCCTTCTTAGAAAACCCCAAGAAGACCCGAGAAGGCCCCAAGAGAGGTTTGTTTGTATCTTCCACGCGGGGGTGTCACCATCTATCCGCTGTTTGAACACATGCTTCCTCTTGCAGGGCTCGGCTTGAGGCTCGGAGGGACCTCAGGAGGGTTCCAACCTGAGGTATCCAAAGACCTCGCGTGAGCTTCGAGTGTGATTGCGCTGCTCCAAGAGGGTTCCGAGGCGGCCCCAGAGCGCTCCAGGACGCTCACCATTGCTTCAAGACGGCCAAAGACACCCTGCAAACGCTCCCGGGGAGTTCCAAGGGACCCCCTCGGGGGCCCCAAGAGGCCAAAACCATAGTTCTGTTGTTGTTTGAAGGATTTTAGCGTTCTCGCTTTTTCGGGGTTCCAACGCTCCAAGCCGGCCCAAGAGGCCACCAGGATCGCTCCAAGACGGCCCAAGAGGCCCCCACGAGGGCACCGAGACGACCCATGAGGCCCACAATGCGGCCCAAGAGGCCCCCAGGACGGCCCCAAGAGAGGACCCAGGCCACCAGAACTCACGTTGCGAGATTTTGTCCATCAGGATCGCCTCTTGTGAAGCGGAGTGTGCTCGCGAGGGGTAGCTTTTGACATTTTTCCTAGATGCACGGGTTTCAAGCTTACTAAGCATGGTGTTGGCTGTCCGCCACGTGCCGCCCCCCGTTTAGAGGGCATCGATACGGCCCATGTTTTTGAAAGCTATAATGGGAACAGCTGGGGCACACTCAAGAAGAGGTTCGCTTCGTCCAAGGCCCTCGTGTTGTGTGCTCAGGAGATCGGGTTCGACGAAGAGCGACTGGGGAGCGTGTGAGTTCAGCCAAGGCAATGGGATGGAACATGTTGTGCTCACCTGCCGTTGCATGTGCTCAGGGGCAGACGTCTGCTGGAGTTGCCATCTTCGCCAGAGTCACAGTTGGACTAAGGTGGTCAGACTTTTTACCTCGTGGCATTGCAGTAGCGCGCAGGCTTGTGTTCGCCAGGATCGATGTTCCCAAGTGGCCCCCGTTGTTGGTCGGTAGTGCGTATCTCTACACAGGTGAAGGTCTCAGCCAACGTAACTTACATATCATTCGCATGGCAGGTCAGTTCATGGAGGGAGCGCACTTAGCACTGCTGGGGGCTGATTGGAACTTCGGCTCAACATGTTTGGAGATGCCTGGTATGCCGCGACGCGCGGGGTTGCTGATTATGCAGCCCGAGTCCACCATGTGCGTGACACCGCAGGCAAAAACCAAGATTTATTATTTTCTCGCGTCCACGGCCTTCAGCAAGTTGGTGCAGGTGGTCAATGTAGACAGCTCATGGGCCAAGAGGCCCCACCGACCTGTCCAACTGCATCTCAGGCCTGGGGCTGTCAAGATGCACCAGCTCGTGTACACTAGTCACCAGAGGCTCCCCGCTGAACTCCCTGTGGGACCAAGTAATCGTAGTGCCGATTGGACGAAGGCGCGTGAACAAGCTGAACACGCCAACCTCGTCGCCAGTGACCAAGCGGTGGGTACTGCGTGGACTGCGCTGGACGTCGCTTGGAAAGCTTTCTCGAATGCCATGGAACTTGAGCTCGAGAGTAAGTTAGATACCCCGGTGCGTAGGAAGGGTAAGAAAGGCCCCCCTTTGGTCGCCCAGTGGGCCTCGGTTCTGGCGCCCCCTCAGAGGAAGGAGGAAGATGAGGTCCGTGTCTGGGTTGGGTGGGTCTGGTTGCAGCAGAATGCTAAGGACCTCCTTAACACCAGCCAGAGGCTTGTGGTTCAGATGAGTACGTTAGTGGATCAGTCAGACGTCCAAGCGGCCTGTAACATCGTTGATATTGTTGCTCAGCCTTTCGATGCCGAAGGCCTCTCGACTAGGCTTGATGTCACCGTCGCCAAGGCCCGTCAGGAGATGGCCGTGTGGCCGCGCTCCCTGCACGGCCTAGCCGGCTGGGTCGACCAGTTTGCCGAGCTTCTGGCGGGGTGGGAGGAGGACTTCGCGGAGGCACGAGAAGGCTTAGACGGGAAGGAAAAGAAAGGGTGGGATCAATGGCAGGCTGAAGCTTTGCAGGGGCCAGCCCGCAAGATGCACCGCCTCACCCGTCTTAAGGTTAAATGGGAGCCCACGGTGACCGGGAAATCTCCTGGTGTTTTACGTCGGACCCGCGTGCTTTGCTGGCCAAGGGGGCTGAGGTCCTTGGGACTTTTTGGCATGCTTCCTCTTCCCCTCCTCCTGTCGAGGTGCCTGACAGGCGCTGTCTCGATCGCCTCAGCCCTGAGGCTATACGTTCTGCGGCCAAGAGCTTCTCGCCGCACACGGCTCCGTCCCTTGGCGGGGTGCACGTGCGGCAGTTTGCTTTTCTCTGTGATGAAGGGTTGGACACCCTGGCTTGCTTGTTTCAAGCGTCTGAGAAGTTGGGATTGTTCCCTCGGGCTTTGTCCTGGATGCTGTTCCCCCTGCTCGAGAAGCCCAAGGGTGGTCTTCGTCCGAGTTTGCTTGGTTCGGCCCCTTTGCGTTTGTGGGAGAAGTTAAGGCGTCCCCACCTCAACCCTCTCAACGACACTCACCCCAGGAGGTATTGGGCCCTTGGCGCTGGCAAGTCGGCGGAAGCTTGTGCGTGGGGTCTGGCCATCAAGGCCGAAGTCCAGGTGGAAGGCGGTGGAGTCGCGGCTGGGTTCTCTTGGGACGGCACCAAGTATTATGAAAGTTTCGACCTCCAGAGCCTCAAGGATCGAAGCCTGGTGGTTGGACTTGAACCAGTCATCATCAAGATGGTTTACAATTTTTGGCGAGGCCCTAGGATCTTAAGGTTAGGATCTGGCCACAGCATTGCAGTGCAGTATGCTACCAGTGGGCTACCTGCTGGATCGTGCTTCAACGATATTTTTTGTGCGGGTGTATGCCATGGAGCCTTTCGATGGCTTCGTGAGTCGTAACCCGTGCGTGGATTTGTTCTCGCGCATTGACGACGACACTGTCAGCAGTTGCGGCGCGAAGGAAGCTGTCATTGAGTCGCTGGTCTCGGCGGCGGCGGACCTTCGCAGCGTGTTCGCCCAGGAGCTTGGGGTGAATCTATCGCCAGATAAGTTGATGACGTTTGCCTCAAACCCTGACACTGCTCGTCACCTTGAGATGCGGCTCGGACTCCTGGCGGGCGCTGTTGGTACTCATGTCGTGTCTTTGGGTTGCGATTTGGCCCCTGGGGGTAAAGGGCGCAGGAGGGGGCATCTCTCCAAGAGGCGCAAACGTTTCCAAGATATGGTCAAGCGGCATCGCGTCTTGACGCGATACCCGCGTGCTTTACCAAGGGATCGCGGCCGAATCGGACAGATTTACACGACTGGCGCCAAGCCGGCGCTCACGCTTGGGGGCACCATAGTCGGCATGACTGATGCTGAACTCAAGCGAGCGAGGCGTGTTTTGTTGTCCTTCAGGCCCCAAGGCATGCAGGTGTTTCTACGCGCGCCAAGGTTGCCTTGGTTGGGGCCCGCTGTGGAGGAGCATGGTTGCCCCAGCGATAGCTTGGGCTCAGGCGGTGTGGAGCGCTGTCACAAGGCCTAGCCATGCGCAGTTTTCGGTCAAGGACTTGTGCGCGATGTGGAGGGAGGTCAAGAGGGAAGGACTTACTTGGGCTAAATCGCGTGGTCCGATCAGTAGGATGCACCTGTCTCTGTGTAGGATAGGGCGGTCGGTTGTGAACCCCCTGCAGTGGATCGATGATAAGGGCATCGAGCACAGTTTACTGCGCACCACTCCCTCCATGATTTGCTTTTTGTTGGAACGAGGTGTCCAGAGACACCATGAGAGAGTTTTTGCCGAAAAACTTGGGCGGCCCTCAGGGGCTAGGGTTTGCGTTGAACCCGCGCGTCGGATTGTGAACCCTCGGGCCAAAGGGATCGGTTTGAGTGCCCAGGGGAAGTATTTGGTTAAAACTGCCTTTTGTGAAGGTTTGTGGATTGAGGATCGGGCTCGAAGGTCGGGATACCTCTGTTTAGGATTGTGCCCGCTGTGCCAGAGACCTGACTCGGTCAGGCACCGTATCTGCGAGCGTCAGCATCAGGATGTTGTGGCGGCTCGAGAGGAGGCGGAGGCATCGGTTAACTTCTGCCGCGAAGTCCTTGACAGTGGCGATTCGTTGCACGACGGTCTTAAGATGCTGCGCCCGATTGACAGCTGGCCCAGCCCTAGTGATGAGCATGCGCCTGTCTTGTACGATGAGGATGGACAGCCGGTGGAGTGGTCGCAGTTTAACAGTACGGGACTCTACCAGGCGGGGGATGGATCATGCATACCACACAGTATTTCGGAGCTGTCCAGAGCTGCGTATTCTTGGGTTTTCTCTGATGCCGAAGGCCGCCAGAAGTTTGTTGCGCGTGGAGTGGCGTGGCCCTCCTTGCCCCAGACTAGCCAGGCGGCTGAGCAGTTGCAGCTGGCGCTTCTGCCCATCTTCGTGCCGAGGTTGGCCCATGAGTGTTGCAGTGATTGCATGAATGCGGTCAAGCTGCACAACAAAGGTCCCCTCGAACAACTGTCCCCGAAGCAAAGGTACGGAGGCTTAAGGCGAGGTGCCCTGATCCATACGTGTAAAAATAAGTTTGCCCCAGCTGTTCACGCGCCTGCGCATCGCAAGCTCGAAGTGATAGATGCGCTGGCTCAACCAGAGCGTAGGATTGGCCAGGCCAACTGGCGAGCATATCTCGAGGCCAAGAAGGCCATCGAGCTGCACGCGCGCCCGTCGGATGCCGAAGCCAAACAGTTCGATTGGACCATCGACCAGTTGCGCAAGTGCGCACGGTTGATGGCGAGTGCGCTGCCGCTGTTTCCTCGCGCGACTCACCAGAGGTCGCCCAGGCGCGTGAGACCCACAAAGGTCTTTGACAAGGCCACGTCTTTGCACTCATGGCAGCGGAGTCTCCGGGGCTTTCGGCGCACTAAGTGTTTGGTCTTCTCTAGAGGGCGGCAACGCGAGCGCCCTGAGCTAGGATGCGAAGGTTTCCTCGAGAGAGTGGCTGAGCTTCTGGTCTCAGCCCCCGATCACGGACACAAGCTCGCGAGCACCCAGGTTGGAGACGAGGCCAACCCGCCGTTCTTTTGTCTGGCCTGCGGAGCGTACTCGCAGCACAAGATTCGCAGTTTAGCCGCCCGCTGCCAGCCAGGCAGCATTCGCAGCGGTGGCCAAGTCTTGCCCCGACTGCGCAGAGGGCTTCACCCTTTGCGCTGCGCTGCAGTCTCCTGCGCTGAGCCTGAAGAACAGGTGGCGCGGCAGGAGGCTGACGTTGTCTTGCAGCTGGCGCGCCGCCGTGATGTGGCGGCCACTGCAGCCCCGCTACCATGCTTGGAAGCCATCCGCGCCCGCATAGCGGCACGGGAGGCTGCAAGCTATGCACTGTGAACTGTCACACTGTCGTTACTGGTCGGTCAACGGTGATAAGAAAAAAATGTGAAGCGGCGCGGGGGCATGCGGAGAGCCTTCGCAGGTAGAGGCGGCGCCGGGGTCACCATGCATCCGAACATTGCACGAATGTGTACATGTCGGAAACGATCGACGAGCCTCTTGGGAGCCCTTCAGGCCTGATCGGGGCCTCTTGGGCGCCTCTTGAGGTATGTTGAGACTTCCTGGGGGCTTCTTAGGGCGTCTTGGGGGGGCCCTTTGGGGGCCTCTTGGGGGCCCGCTGAGACATGGAGAGGGCCCCGAGAAGACTCCAAGAGGATCCCGAAAAGTGTCCGGGTCACCCGGAGATGCTGCAAAACCATTTCCGGGTGACCCGGAGACCTCTCGAGGTCGAGGCCCTCTTGGAGCTCTCTTGGGGGGCTCCAGGACGGCTTCGGAGCGCTCAGAGGGGCCCAAGAGGGTCCCGAACATATTCTAAGAGGGTTCTGAAAAGTCTCCTTGTCACACGGAGATGCTGATGCAGCATCTCCAGATGGCCCAGAGACCTCTCGGGGCCCTTTTGGAGCTTCCTTGGGGGGCTCCACAAAAAGGCGGGGGGGGAGGGCGGGAGGGGGGGGTGGATTTCCTGGAGATGCGGACGCGGAGGAGGGGGCGGCTTCTGGGGGCCTGACGGTCTATCGGGCGCCCCTTGAGGTTAATTGGGGTTTCTTGGGGACCCCTCAGGGCCTCCTGGGGGTCCTGTGGAACCCTTGTGGCGTTTTGGGGTCTTTTCGGGGGTGTCTTGGGACCCTCTCGGGTGCCGAGAAGCGATGTTGTTTGTGTTGTTGCTGTTGCGCTTCGCTGTTGAATGTTATTTACTAAACATCAATAATTAGATGTATTATTATCAGTATGCTTATCATTACCAGTATTCGTATTAATATTACTATTGTCGATATCAGTATTACTAGTACTAGTAGTATTAGTTATTTGTTTTGTTGTTATTAGTATTATTATTAGTATAATTATTATTAATATTATTATTATTAGTATTATTATTATGATTCGTATTCTTATTGTATTTCGTATTATTATGATTGGTATTATGATGATGGTCATTGTTATTATCATTAGTATTATTAATCATAATAATAGTATTATTATAGTTGGACCCCTTATAGGCGCCCTGGCACTCTCGCCTAGGCGCTGGCTGCATTTTCATTGAAAATGAGGCTCACTCTCAAGCGACCTGGGGGATGGCCCAAACCGGCCCCCCAACAACAACAACAGCAACAACAACATAAACAACATAAACAACAACAACAACACCAACAACAACAACAACATACACAACAACAACAACAACAACAACAATCATTTTAAGACTGTTCGCCCTTATATGCTCGAGTGTCCAATAACACGCATTTCCCAAACCCTCGATACCCGCCCTCTTCGTCTTCGATCGAACCCATTTTGGGGGGTATACCTTTCTTCCCTGCAGGCCGGGCCCCGGCAAGCGGCGGGGCGGCCACGGACCGTCGGCCTGGCCAGCGGCAGCGCTGATCGGCGGGGCGGCCGCGGACCGTCGACCCGACCCCAAGAGGTACGGACAGGGGACCGACGACGACGACGACGACGACGGCGACGACGACGACGACGTCGAAGGCGACGGCGACGACGACGACGGCGACGACGAGCGAAAGCGAGAGCGAGAGAGAACGACAGCAGGGCCACGAAGGGCACGAAGTAGGCCACGAAGGGCGACAGCGTGGACACGAAGGGGATGCGTATGGGGCCACGACGAGCGCGAACGAGCGGGGACCACGAAGGGCAGATAATGCGGGGCCACAGAGGGCAACTATGGGGCCACTGAGGGCAGCAACTGAGCCACGTAGGGCAGTGAGGGGGGCACAAGTGGCGACAGCGGGGCACGAAGCGCATGCACATGGGGCCACAACGGGCGCGACTCCTGGGTGCCTGGGTGTCGGGAGCGCGGCGCTTGGGCAAATTGCAGGAAATTCCAACGCAAGGCCATTCTTCAGTACATTGCAAGCGAGTCTCCAGCGAGAGCGCGACTCCAGAGCGCCAGGAGAGCGATTCCGGAATAAATTGTAAGGAAGTCCCAAGCGAGAGCGCGATTCCTGAATAAAATGTGAGGAAGTCTCGGGCTGGAGCGGAGGTCCTGGCTAAATTGTAAGGAGGTCTCAGGCGGGAGCCATTGTTGTTGTAACCCGGGGGCCAGGGGGCCAGTTTGAGCATCAAGAGTTTCCCTGTCAAAAAACAGGGTGCGAGCGTCGAGGGGCACACTCTGATTGAGAAATAACAGTATGCACCGGTGGGGGGGGATCAGCAATAATTATTCTTCAGAAATGAGAATTCAACAACAACAATAACAACAACAACAACAACAACAACAACAACAACAATCATTTTACCCGAACGCGTGGTGTTCTCCCCAGTGCCAGGGTTTTCATACGACACCAGGCAATACCCCCACTTCGTGGGGGGGCATTACAAGCTCTACCAAATATCCAAACGACTCTTCGCGACCACCCAAACCCAGCTTCCCGCCCTATGACGTTGGGACACTTCACTTCGTGGCGTGCGGACGACCGTGGCTACTACACTGGCGTGGGGTACACACCCACAGAACTTGGTCACTTATTCGGGGCGCGCATGTGCCCAGCATGGTGCAATTGTGCCATACAATACATAATACAGAGAGACAGAGAGAGAGACAGAGAGCAGACAGAGAGAGAGACAGAGAGAGCGGAGTTGGTCACATTTTTGGGTCAAGTTCCTGGGATGATGGGAATACACAACTCTGTTACATTTGATAGTGTGCACGACACACATGAGATGATACGTACTCGCAAGATAGTTGGTCACATTTGTGGAATTCCTGGGCGGATGTGGGGATACACAAATACCTTTGTTACCAGTGCTAGACATGGTACAGACACTGAGAGAGAGAAGGCGAGACAGAGGAAGAGAGCGGGAGAGAGAGAGAGACAAAGAGAGAGAGACAGAGAGAGAGGAGTTCGGACAGCGCGCGCGGGTGGAAATTTTGAAAAGTCGTGCAGGTGTTTTTCGAGGACCTACGGTGCGATTCGTGTGATTTTATGATGCGCGGTGCTAAAATTCTTAAAAACCCAATGGTTTTTGGAGATTTCGGCGTGCGCGCGCGAAGAAAAAACGAATGTGTCCCGCATGGTATTATTTGACAGGGATGATGGCCCTGGCAGGTGCGCAACCGTTGTCGCAGAAGTTCGAAAAAGTTGCTCGCAAAAGCCCGTTTGACAGAAATGTTTAAAAAGTGTTGGGTTTCCTACGAATCCGCAAGAGCGCGCGGGATGAGATTTTGACATTTTTTTGTTGAAAAACCATTGGTTTTTTGATGTTTTTATGTTAAAATCGCTCCGAACACTAAGCTTTTGGAAGGATTTCGTCTTGCGCGCGCGAATGTCCACTTTACCTTATTTTTTGCAAGGGATTCTTGAAATTTGATTATATTAGAACAAGAAATGTCATTTTATAGTGTTTTTTGCAAGGGAAAACGGATTACAACAAAACAACCGGATCTTGATGACATCGTATTACCTGAGGCTTCCTCACGAAAATGATGAAAACGTGGCTGCGGCCTAGGCGCGGCGGGGGGGGCGCGCACCAGGGGGCCCAACAATAATTATTCTTTAGAATTAATAATGTTCAACAACAACAACAACGCTCCCATTCGAGACTTCCTCCCTTTTTGCTCAGGGCCGGGGCTCTTGCTCGCCGCCGACAGCAGCCATCTCAACAAAACCAGCGTTCCCGCTCGAGATTTCTTCCCATTTTACAGTGGAGAGGCGCGCTACTCTTTCTCTCATCGGCGCCGCCCCCCGGCAACAACAACGCTCCCTCTCGGGATTTCCTCCGTTTTTATTTAACAGCGAAGACTGATAGGTTCCTAGTAAGGTCAAAAGAGAGCATCATGACGCCCCAGGGGGGTCTGGGCGCGATCCGGGGGAGGGTGCCGGGCATTTTTTATAGCTAACAGTTACACCTTTCGTGGTCTTCGAGGTCCAGAACTCAATTCCCGGGCCGCATTCTGAATGCCCGGAGCCAACTGTTGGCCACTTCGTGGTCTTCGAGTTCCCAGAACTCCATTCCCGGGCCACATTTTGAATGCCCGAAACAACAGTAGGCCACTTCGTGGTCTTCGAGTTCCCAGAACTCCATTCCCGGGCTACATTTTGAATGCCCGGAGCCAACAGTAGGCCACTTCGTGGTCTTCGAGTTGCCAGAACTCCATTCCTGGGTATGATTTTGAATGCCCGGAGCAAACTGTAGGCCACTTCTTGTTCTTCGAGTTCCCAGGCTGAGGCAGGCTGAGGCAGGCTGATGCTGAGGCAGGCTGAGGCTGAGGCTGAGGCTGATGCAGGCTGAGGCTGAGGCAGCCTGAGGCTGAGGCCGCGGCTGAAGGCAGACTGAGGCTGAGGCTGAAGCAGGCTGAGGCTGAGGCTGAGGCTGAGGCTGAGGCAGGCTGAGGCTGAGGCTGAAGGCAGGCTGAGGCTGAGGCTGAGGCTGAGGCTGAGGCTGAGGCTGAGGCAGGCTGAGGCAGGCTGAGGCTGAGGCAGGCTGAGGCTGAGGCTGAGGCTGAGGCTGAGGCTGAGGCAGGCTGAGGCTGAGGCTGAGGCTGAGGCTGAGGCCGAGGCTGAAGGCAGACTGAGGCTGAGGCTGAAGCAGGCTGAGGCTGAGGCTGAGGAGGCTGAGGCTGAGGCTGAGGCTGAGGCTGATGCTGAGGCAGGCTGAGGCTGAGGCTGAGGCTGATGCAGGCTGAGGGCTGAGGCAGGCTGAGTCTGAGGCCGAGGGCCGCCGGCAGAAGGCAGGCGAGGCTGCAGGCTGAGGCTGAGGCAGCAGGCTGAGGCTGAGGCTGAGGCAGGCTGAGGCTGAGGCTGATGAGGCAGGCTGAGGCTGAGGCTGAGGCTGATGCAGGCTGAGGCTGAGGCAGGCTGAGGCTGAGGCCGAGGCTGAAGGCAGACTGAGGCTGAGGCTGAAGCAGGCTGAGGCTGAGGCTGAGGCAGGCTGAGGCTGAGGCTGAGGCAGGCTGATGCTGAGGCTGAGGCTGAGGCTGAGGCTGAGGCTGAGGCTGAGGCTGAGGGAGGCTGAGGCTGAGGCTGAGGCTGAGGCTGAGGCCGAGGCTGAGGCAGAGGCTGAGGCTGAGGCAGGCTGAGGCTGAGGCTGAGGCAGGCTGAGGCTGAGGCAGGCTGAGGCTGAGGCAGGCTGGGGCTGGCTCAGGCTGAGGCAGGCTGAGGCTGAGGCCGAGGCTGCAGGCAGACTGAGGCTGAGGCTGAAGAGGCTGAGGCTGAGGCTGAGGCTGAGGCTGATGCTGATGCAGGCTGAGGCTGAGGAGGCTGAGGCCGACGGCAGACTGAGGCTGAGGCTGAAGCAGGCTGAGGCTGAGGCAGGCTGAGGCTGAGGCTGAGGCAGGCTGATGCTGATGCAGGCTGAGGCTGAGGCTGAGGCTGATGCAGGCTGAGGCTGAGGCAGGCTGAGGCTGAGGCCGAGGCTGAAGGCAGACTGATGCTGAGGCTGAAGGCTGAGGCTGAGGCTGAGGCAGGCTGAGGCTGAGGCAGGCTGAGGCTGAGGCTGAGGCAGGCTGAGGCTGAGGCTGTGACTGCGACTGCCGTTGCCACTGCGACTGCCATCGCGAATGCGACTTCGACTGCGAGAACAGCAGAATTCTACAACAGGATTCTCATCTGAATCTTAAGGGGAGCGCTTCCAGATATGCTCCTACACATCGCTGTTAGGTTGCTTTGCCGGGATAATTTACTCAAGGCGGTGGTGCTTTTGCTCGCCGCCGACAGACCCCGTCCCGACAGAACCAGCGCCCCCGCCCGAGACCTCCTCCCGTTTTACGCTGGACTGGCGCCCTTTTCTCTCCTCCTCCTCCTCCTCCTCCTCCTCCTCCTCCTCCTCCTCGTCCTCCTCCTCCTCCTCCTCCTCCTCCTCTTCCTCCTCCTCCTTCTCCTCCCCTCCTCCTCCCTCCTCCCCCTCCCTCCTTCCTCCCTCTTCCTTCCTCCACCCCCTCCTCTTCTCCGTCCTTCCTCATCCCTCCTCCGTCCCTCTTTCCTCCCTCTGCTCCCTCCCCCCTTCATCCTCCTCCTCCTCCTCCTCCTCCTCCTCCTCCTCCTCCTCCTCCTCCTCCTCCTCCTCCTCCCTCCTCCTCCTCCTCCTCCTCCCTCCTCCTCCTCCTCCCTCCTCCTCCTCCCTCCTCCTCCTCCTCCTCCTCCTCCTCCTCCTCCTCCTCCTCCTCCTCCTCCTCCTCCTCCTCCTCCTCCTCCTCCTCCTCCTCCTCCTCCTCCTCGTGGCGGCCGCGAGTCTCTCCCGCGCGCCCCGACGCTCTGTGGTCGGGAGCTGGCGGACACCTCCGCCGCCCCTCGAAGCGGGCTGCACCCCTGGGGTAGCCAGTTGTCTACGACAGCAGCGACTCCTGGGAAGGCCAGAGGGGTCCGCCAGCCAGGGCCTCTAGACTCCGTTACCTGGGAGCACGAAGAGCACCACCACGGCACGGTAGTGGTCGCGCTCCCTGGGCCAGCGCCGAAGCCGCCGCGGGCCGCGGGCCAGGCGGTTGTTGGGGGTCTGAATCCCCCCCGCCTGGCCCATAGGCGCGCCCGCCGCGGCGGCCGCCGCAGCCTCCAGCAGCCTGCTCGCGGGCGCCCCGCTGCCGCCGCCAGCGTGGCCCAGCCCCCTAGCCAGCTGCCTTGCGCCGGCTTCAGGCGCAGCTGCCCAGACCGTCGCCGCCGCCTGGCGCGCCCGGCGCTCCGCCGCCGCTGCCGCACAGGCGCCGCGCCGCGGCGCCGGTGCCGCCGCTGACCGCGGCGCCCCTCGCAGCGCTGGCGGCCCGGTCTCGTGCTCGCGCCGCGTCAAGGGCCTGCGGCGCTCAGGCGTGGCGGGCGCGGCGGGCCGCCTGGAAGGCCCCCGCGGCGCCCGCGCCGCCGTCTCGGCGGGGCGGCGCGCGCGTCGGCAAGCAAGCCTCGCGGTAAGCGTCCGCGCTGCCCCGCTGCAAAGCCGCGGCGAGGCTTTGCCGGGCCGCCGCCAGCACCTTTGCGTCCCCGCGCGCCCAGGTCCGGAGCAGCGCTTGCGCTGCCGGCCCCGGCCGCCCAAGGGTCTCAAGGGCGAAAGCCGTCAGTGCGGGGCCGGGGTAGCGCCTGTGTTTGCGCTCCTCCGCGGCCGCTGCAGCTGCGTCGTTGCGGACGGCGCGGCTCCGGCCCGCCGCGGCCCCGGCGCCAGTCGCGGCGTTCGTGACCACCGTGTCGACGTGCACCACGCCGGCGGTCGGGTCGGTGTACTGAGAGGCACCTCCCCTCCTCAGAGAGATATAGAGTATCAAGTTAACTTGAGTGAGAATTAGGGAACTTGTATGTCCATCCAGATAAGTAACTTCAAGTATACTTGAGCTAAATAATAAGTAACATAAGTTCCATAAGTTCCGTTCGCTGGTGAATGAGTTTTACATGTTTTAACATGGTTTTTCATGTTTTACATGTTTTTACATGGTTGTTACTTATTTTTCGCATGGTATGGAAAGAGGGCGGCGGAACTTATGGAACTTATGGGGGAGGGGTCGGGGCGCCTCCCTGAGCGGGCCGCCCCATCGGGGCGGCCCCTCCCCACACAATATGAACACTACTCTCCGCTCCCCCCTGAGTCTGTGCGGAAGATAACCGAGTGCAGCGGAGCAGCAGCCTCGGCAGTATACAGTGCACCAGCCTCGCCGCTAGGAGACCTGGGCTCGGGCGCGTCGTCGTCGCCGCCGCCGCCGCCGTCGTCGTCGTCGTCGTCGCCGTCGTCGTCGTCGTCGCCGTCGCCGCCGTCGTCGTCGCCGTCGCCGCCGCCGTCGTCGTCGTCGTCGTCGTCGTCGCCGTCGCCGCCGCCGCCGTCGTCGTCGTCGTCGCCGCCGCCGCCGTCGTCGTCGTCGTCGGCGGCGCCGCGCCGCCGCCGCCGCCGTCGTCGTCGCCGTCGCCGTCGCCGTCGCCGTCGCCGTCGCCGTCGCCGTCGCCGCCGCCGCCGCCGCCGTGCGAGAGTGGCGGCGGTGGGAGGAGCAGGCGAAGGAGGCGACAACGACGACAACGACGACGACGACAACGACAACAACCCTTCACCCACGCGACCGAACCCCAATCGTCGTCGTCGCCGCCGCCGCCGCGTCGTCGTCGTCGTTTCCACCAACCGTTTAGGCTCGAACCTGGGGCGGATCCGCAGAGCCAACCGCATGGCCTCGAGAGCCAACCGTTTCCGCGGAACCGCAGAGCCAACCGCGATGCGCTGGGGCGGGTCAGCACGAGCGAAGGAGCCAGAGGAGGAGCCAACCGTTTCCTGGCCAGCAGGCGCAGCGCCATCAGCACCAGGCGCAGCGCCATCAGCACCAGCAGGCGCAGCGCCAGCAGCACCAGGCGCAGCGCCATCAGCGCCCGACGCTGGCGCAGGGCCAGCAGGCGCAGCGCCATCAGCACCAGGCGCAGCGCCATCAGCACCACCAGGCGCAGCGCCAGCGCAGAAGCGCAGCCACGGGCTGGCCAGGCTGCAGGAGGCGCATCGCGAGGAACAGCTTCGATTGAGGGATCGGTGCACGCGCCTGCTGGAGCAATTGAACGTGACAGCAGGCGCAGCAGGCGCAGGCCAGGCTCAGCGCTGCGCCTGGTCTGCGCAGCAGCCAGGCGCACCAGCAGCACCACCAGGCGCAGCACCAGCAGCAGCACCATCAGGCGCAGCACCAGCAGCACAGCACCAGCAGCACCACCAGGCGCAGCACCAGCACCAGCACCAGCAGCCGCATACGCATCACCACGCGCCAGCAGCACCAGGCGCAGCATCAGCAGCAGCAGCAGCAGCGCCAGCAGCACAGCACCAGCAGCACCACCAGGCGCAGCACCAGCAGCAGCACCAGCAGCCGCATACGCATCACCACGCGCCAGCAGCACCAGGCGCAGCAGCAGCAGCACCAGCAGCAGCACCAGCAGCGCCAGCAGACCAGGCCTGGCGCTACCAGACTTGCAACACCTGCTCTTGGCGCAGGTACTACATCGCCGACAGCGTCGACCAGTTCCGCCAGTGGCTGCCTCTCGCATGCGATTGTGCACCTGACCTGACGGTGGTGCACGAGGGCTTGCACGCCAATCCAGGCGCGACGTGGCGCGCAATCATCGAGACGGGAACGTTGAGCCCTCCATCGCTCCCTGTCGTGCGCAGCGACGGCCAGGAATGGTCGCGAATCCCCCTTCGCGTCGGCCCTGAGTGCAGGGCGATGCACTATGGAGGCAACCATTGGGTATGCGACAACGCCACGCACAGCCCAGGTGATCGCTGCGTAGGGTATCAGAACACGCGGCTGGAGAGCTTGATCCATCCAGCCACCGCGTGGAATGAGAAGCAGATCGGCCGCGGGATCTTGAAGGACGGGCGGCCTTGCTACGGAGTCTGCACCCACCATGGCAATTCAGGCGTCAACGTGTACAGCGACGGCGGCTTGGAAACATTCCATGGGTCTCAAGGGTGGGTGCAGCTCGAGGTGGAAGTGCGCGACACGACGAAGCTCAAAGATGGCCGCATCAACAGGTACTGCGTCAAGGGCACACCGTTCGAGACATGCGAGAAGGTAGTTCTGGAAGCGCTTTGGGTGCCGAGGAGAGAGCTGCCGAGCATTGTTTGTCTGAGCTAGGCGTCGCACGGCGACCACGAGTGCGCGAATCGGCAAGTCCCACAGTTTCACACGCCACCAAATCAGCAACGATTGTCGCACTCTCGGCATTTTGCCGACGATTGCCGACGATCGGCTCAACAATTCGGAACGCCGACGATAGGCGCACTCTTGGCATTTTGCCGCTCGGCAGACGAGCGCGCGGCCACGTCTCAGCAATTCGACCGACGGTAGGCGGACTGTCCAATGACCCGTCGGCAATGCGCATCGCTTCCGCCGCGCACGGCGCTTTTTTGCTCGGCAAACCGCTGCCGCGCACAGAAGCACGGCGGCGCCCCGAGCGGCGCGGCGCGTCCGCGGCACTTACCTCAGCGGCGCGTCCGCTTTCTCGGCTTGCTTGAATAGATAAATAAAGTCCTCCTCCTTCTCATCCTCATCCCCCCCATCCCCCCCCCGAGCGGCACGTTCGCTTCCTGGGCGTTCCGTTGCTAAGCGATGCTATGTTGTGCCAGGCAACGCTATGCAACATTCACGATATGACTTGCGATGCCATGCCATGCGACGCAATGCGATGCTATGCGGTGCTATGCGGTGCTATGCGATGCTCTGCGAGGCTATGTGAGGCTATGCGAAGCTATGCGAGGCTATGCGAGGCTATGCGATGCTATGCAGTGCTGACACCTCCCACGGGCCCAGCAGCAGCACGATCGGGGCCTTCAGGGAGGCGGGGGAAAGGGCCAGCGCGAGCCCCGACAGTTGCTCCTGGGCGAGAGGGGGGCATGAGAGCCCCGAGCGGGCCCGCCGTGGCTCCGAGAAGGCCCCAATAAGGCTTCGGTTCATCATTTGTTCCTCTGGGCCCCCATCTCCCGCGGCCGCGTCGGCTTCAAGCATGTATGAGTCGGGCACTCGAGTGCCCGACTAGTGCGGTTTCCATGTACGAAGGCTGCGGCAGCCGCCCGCACGGGGTGCCAGGGCGGGTGCCAATGGAGCTGGAAGACTGGCGGGCATCCACCACGATTCCAGTCTATCCGCCGACCCTGTTCCCGTGGTTTTCCGACAACCCCGTTGAGACCACGAACCTCGAATGGTACTCCCACGAGCAGCACAGCGACCACGCGCAGAGCAGCGACCACACCGAGTGGACCAACAACGGAGCCCCGAATATAGAAAGGGACTGGGAGCTCTCTGAGGCACTCCACAGATCAAAAGGGGATCCCGCAGCACTGGAAAAGATCATGAAGCGCGACCCCGAATGGATTTCCAGTCAGCCGGTGAAGGTCGCCGTGCCTCCATGGAGAAAGCAGATCATCCCCGACGCCGACGAGAGCAAGCCCGATCGCGACGAGATCAAGCCAGTCGCCGAACAGGGCATCCCCGACGCCGACGAGAGCAAGCCCGAGCGCGACAAGATCATGCCAGTCGCCGAACATGGCATCCCCGACGCCGACGAGAGCAAGCCCGAGCTCGACAAGGTCAAGCCAGTCGCCGAACAGGGCATCCCCGACGCCGAGCCCGATCGCGACAAGAGCAACCCAGACGCCGAGAGCAAGCCCGTCGCCCAGAGCACCACCGAGGGCGAAACCGCCACGACCCATGACGAGGATACCATGCACATCGACGAGCTGCGCCACGTCCACTCCGATCATTCGTCTGGGACGTTCTGGGACTCCGAGACCCAGAACTTGACAAAAGTCATATATGGCAACCAGCGCCGCGGCTCTGGAAAAAAAAAAAACACCCGTCTGGGCGCTACGGGCAGCGGGGTGGGATGCAAAACCCGAACGTGCAGTGGCACAGCATGAAGGCCCAGGCCGAGCGAGAGGGCTGGCTGCCACAGTTCCGCCAGATGTTCCCGCATCGCAGCGCCATGAGCAGCTGGAGCAATAACTTTCAGCCTGGGGCTTCTTCGCAGCATTAGAGGCGCAGCAGAGCATCGTGCAACGGAGCAGCAGCATGCTCGTGCATTTCAATTGTTGCGCATCGGCGCGCGTGAACTGCGAACTGGGATTTCGGCGCCTCTGCGCCATCGGAAAACGTTGCCGAACCTCCGTGTCGCCACCCATTCTTCGCCTGGCCTTCATGCCGCCCCCCTCCCCTCAATCGACCGCCTCGCCAGCGGTGCATCCGCTTCCGCGCGCCCGCCCCCTCCCCTCGAGCGATCGCCTCGCCAGCGGTGCATCCGCTTCCGCGCGCCCGCCCCCTCCCCCCATTCCCTGCATTGATCGCCCTCTTCATCCCCTGCTTTTAATTTCACCAGCGGCCTCTGCATTCTGAAGCCTTCTCCTCGTCACCCTCCCCTAGCCCTCGTTCCATGACATCGTCATCATATGAGCGCGATGGGGGGTGGGGGGAGGGGGCGCCCTGGGCAACGGCGCTAACCCTCGGACCATCACCAGCCCGAAGCAATCGAGGCTCGAGCTGATCCAGCTTCCCACGCGCCCCCAAGGGGGGCACTGCTTTCGCTTCCGCGAGCTCATCGTTCACAAGCGGCTCCCCCGCTTCCACGGCAAGGCCCAAGGGCAAGGGCGTGAAGAAGGCCACGGGCAAGACTATTGTTGACGTCAAGGGCCTGACAGAGTCTCAGGCCTGGAAGGTAGTCAGCCGCGACACCCTCCACCCGTCCCAGCAGGCCCTCAACCCGTGTGACATGTTCAAGAGGGCGTCGGCCGCGACGGGCTGCTATCATACGCAAGCAATGGCAGTGATGTGCGCGATCTCGTCCACCTTCTTGACCGAGCTCGACGCCAAGGGGGTGTTCTTCCTACCTGGGTTTGGAACCTTTCACAAGCAGGTCACCCCAGGCAAGCCAGGGAAGATGATGAATGTTTTCGGCAAGTGGAAAACAATCCCACCAGTTCCAGCCAGCATGGAAGTCATCGTCGTCCCGTTCCAGACCATCATCGAAGTGCTTGAGTTTAGTGACCTGGCTGGTCATGCGTCACGGATTCCAGCTGGCGGTGTCTCCTCAGCGCCATCAGCACCAAGCGGCTCAGCACCAAGTGGCTCAGCACCAAGTGGCTCAGCAGCGCCAGTGACGCCCGTGAACCTTGGCCACCCTGCAGGCGAGCATGCAGCAGCACCGGCGGTCATCGCAGCACCCGACAAGAACGACAAGGACGGCGCAGACTCTGACGTCATGGGCAGCGACAGTGACTCGTCCCCGACAGAGCCGCCAAGGGCAGCTCTGGGCCAGCCCTGTGCCCTTAAGGAGGCACAGGTGCAGGGCGAGCCGCCAGCTGCAGCTCTTCTGGACCTGCCCTGAGCTCGCCCTAGCAGCTCAGTGTGCCCGTAAGAAGGCACAGGGGCAGGTGGCCAGCGGCGACAGCGCGACATTTCATATTATCGCACCGCTTGCTCGGCGCCCCATCAGCAGCGTTGCAACTTACGCTCTACGCTCGCCAGTCGCACGTTTCGCCCGTGCCGCGCCCAGAAACGTTGTCCTTCTTTCCCTCTGTATCCCCCCACGACATTTCAAAAATCGTCGGCCTGACCATTCGTTGAATCTGGGAGGTGGGATGGGACCTATGCCTCGGGCCCCACCAAGGCCACGCTCGGTTCTCTCCAGGGCGGGTGGTATCGTTTTTTTGCGCTTCCGAATGGAATCTGCGAGCCAGTCTTTGCGAGGCCTCCACCCAGGATCACATTTGAGGACTAGGCTTTCAACCCAGGGCGCCCTCTGGCCTCCAAGGACGAGCCCGCGCATCTTTGCCTCGTCGTAAAGTTTGCAACCGCTGTGGAGGGCGGATCCATTTCAAAATGGGGCTCTCGCCCTCAGGAGATATAGCAGCAACTATTTTTCCTCGCCTGGTCGCCAAGAGATCTCGTCATCTCCTCCACTCCCCCCCATCCCCCCGCCCCGAACACCTCCTCCGACAGCCGCCACCTAGGCTCGAGCAGCCATGCTGAGCGGGATTTTCCGCTAGCGGTATTTGCCGCTTATTTTGTCTGGGTGTTAGCACGTCCAGCAGTTAGGCAACGACTTGCGGTTCTCGCTGACCGCGCTGCGCTGGCCCATGACGGACGCGTCCGCGCTGCGTCTCAGGCTGGGAGCAATCAGGGCGGCGCTTCGAGCTGTCGATGGGACCGATCGACACGAGGCGTTGTCGAGGGTTCAGTCCAACGCCGTCGTCGCCATGATGCAGCGCTCGTGGGCAAACATCTCACCCGAGGACAAGGCCGCGCTGGCAATTATGATCCGCAATGTGGACTGGTACCAGGGCCACGACGGGCCAATAATGACTATACTTAGCAGGGATTCAGCCGCGGCCAGCCACCGCCAAGCCCAGCAGAAGTACACGACCTTCCTCGAGTTCTTCACTGAGGATAACTGGTCCAGGCTGATGCCCGATGACGGCGAGCTGCCGCCCAGCACCGCTTGCCTGCACCTCATCATCCAGCGCGTCGTGCGCCTGGGCGGCTACAGCGTGTGCGAGCGCACGACCAAGCTGATGGCGTCGATGCGGCTTCTCATCACCGATCCTAGCGCGTACAAGCTGAACTGTTTTCAGTTGAAGGCAAACCACGGCTACGTCAAGTCGGAGTACAGGACCATTGCAGACAAGTTCCCGAGGCCCGACTTTCACATGGGCACGCTGCCGAATATGCCAGGTGACCTGGCGCGTTCACATCCGCAGGCCCACGCCAAGGCATGCAGCACTCGCGCGGGCGACGGGCCCACGCGGTGCCCGCTGGACATGCCCAAGCTGCGGGACCTTGACAATAAGTATCGGTGCAGAGGAGTTGGGGCCGAGAAGCATGCGGCCCAGCCAATGAGCGCAGGGCCGCAGGGCTCGGGCAATGCGCCAAGTGGACAGTTGGTGCCATACGCCCCCAGCGGAGGGCCCCATGACGACATCAGGCAGATGATTGCCCAGCAGGCCCAGAACATGCAGCAAATGCAGAACGTGGCCATGACCGCCATGTCCCTCGTGGCGGGAGGGCGCGTCGGAGCGGGGGCGGGCTCAGCAGGTGACGAAATGGTAAGCTTCATGGAGAACTTGGAGGTCTTCGGGAATGCCGCC